AACAGTTTAAGATACGAAATAGCACTGTTTCGGCTTATATTCGGACATCGTTGAAGCTAAATTTCGTCCGGGCAGTAACGTGATTGACCTAAATGACATGACATTAGGAGCTTAATGTCCCGAAATTAATGTTGCGATCTCACACATGACGTCACAAAATTGCGATTTGTTACACGATCGATCGTTCATGTACATTTTGAATGGATATCTACGTCCGCCGTCTTCTAAATTATTACAGAAACTATTCGTAGAAGGGGATATAGCAGAGTAGAACTTTATCGAGGGCAAATAATTCTGCTAAAGAAAGTGCAGCAAAGTTTACGACGTAACAGCACGGCTCACGGAAATATAGTAATTAATTTTCGATAGCTATAGTTATGTAGCTACTTATAGGTTGAAGTTTAGTTTCATAAAGAGTGCTGAAAAAAGCAACCTCGACTCTACTCTTAATCGATTATCGCTGTATAATAAAACAGTCATATACATATAATAAAATTTTTAAGACAAAATTACAAACTAATCTAGTGTTCTAAAATTCAAAGATCAGATTTGTACGCAAACGTAACGATTAATGAAAAATCATTGCTCTGGAAATCGTGTGTAAAAAAATTGATATTTTCACGCACGTGTGAATAATTCGCTTTAAAAATCGTGCAAGGAAATCACGTAAGGATTGATGTTGCGCGGATAAAAACGTCTAGTTCTCTCGCACAATAGAGTTGACACGATAATCATTTCTATGTTTAGCCCTATGTTTCAGTTTGGCGGAATTAACCTTGGGACACGCAGACAGCTCGCGGTTCCAGTTAATGGCATGATAATGTAAATATAGTTATATGATACAGTTATCGAATATAGTTTTCGGGTTCAAGGCCGGCGCGTTCTGCCTGCTCGCGATCGTCAGACGCGCAGTTTAAATATACATCGAAGCATTGACCACGCTTAGTTAATTCTGATAAATTTAACAACGCTGCTGGAGGGCAATAGCCTGCACGCATGTGAGTGCACAGTAAGCGACTTTAATGATTAACGAGGGTGAACGACATCAGAGGTATGAGATATAAAATCATATTACACGCACAATTAGGAATTAGATAACATTCTACAGATTGGACGTTTTCTTTCACCGTTTCGTAGTAACAAATATCGATTTTTTAAAATTAATATCAAATTTATATTTTCTTATGTACATCTAAAAACAAAGCAGAATTATTTGATGCTATGCTAGTACTGAAAACTATTTTTTTTTTCTTTTTAAGACCAATTCCTTTTATCGGCATTACGTATAAATAGAAATACATTCATTTTTAATCCTTTTCTATATATCTTTAGAACTAAGTCAACGACGAGCAGTATAATTTTCGAAAAAATATTTTACTTAAGGAATAAATAAAATATTAACTTTCGCTATTCCATATGAGTCATTCTCATTCTTTTTCTTTCAACTATTTTGAAATTATAGTTATGTTGCTTTCACTCTTTCTCAAACATTCGTTGCATTAAAAAAACATGTTTATGAGTATGTATGTAATTATCCGCATTATGAAAACTTTTGACAGAAACGCAAGGAATATTTTGTTGGACTCGTCTCTGCGAAACACAAGGAATATTTGTTCGAGACGGTATGCTGACGCAAAGCCAAAGTACCCTGGAGATAAATGCCGTTTATCAGATCACGATAATAAATGAAACAAAGGAATAAAATAAAAATGAGACAGACGCGAATCTCGGGGACGTGGTGACCTCTATCGTCGGCGCGTATATAGGTAATGAAAAATCCAGACAATTAACGTTCTGCTTTATCGGCGGTGCGAGACCCGGGTCAATGACCGCGATGTTGAGGAGCGCCTGACCTATTTATCACGAATGTATGTATCCAGCTTGCGCACACGTGTGCGTGCTACGTATACGTTCTGCCTCCTCTTCATCCCTCCATCTCATCACCTAACATTTCTACTACGATCTTCGAGAATCTCGATGGTTACGTTCGAGATTAGATTTCCGAAATCTACTGCTGTCTTTATATCCAGATCGTCGACCGTACAATTCTCTCTCTTGCTCCGCGAAATTGCGAAATCGTCCTCGCGAAATTTCGGGGAAGGAGAGCGCGAAAACTGCGACTCCTTTCAGTCGTCGCAGTTTCTCGAAACGATCAACCGCGTATTTAACAGTGTCGGATGTATCATCGGCGAATTCGAATCGATGCGAATCTGGTTTGAACCGGACGAGTCCTTGAACGAACAGGTTGCGGCGCCTCGGCGCGAAAGACAATCGGCGGGACGTCGATTCGATCGGGAGTCGACGGTGAGGTCGACGGGAGGGCTGGTTACGCGATCGCCATCGCGCGACGAATCCGTGTGACGCGATAAATCGCTCGTAAAGGCCTACCTCAACCCTCCCCGTCGATCAGCCTTTATCCGGAACGAACAGACCCGCGATCGGATTGATTAACGCCGGGTCGTTAACACCGTGTCTTCCGAAGATAAGGGCCTCGCCGTCTCTCGAGGGCGATGCGCTCTAGGTGTCATTGCCCTTACGAATGACAGCGGGTGTGCGGGGGAACACACACCCGAACGAGCCAGCTCCGCCAATACGAATCACATGACGTCGCGTGACAGTGTAAGTTTCGAGGGCTGAATCGCGAGCGCGAACGGCTCAATATTGCGCGATTTGATAAAACAATGAGAGCGTGGCAAAAGAGAGAGAGAGAGAGAGAGAGAGAGCGAGAGAGAGAAAGAAAGAGCGCAAAAGAAAAAGACGGAGAAAGGAAAAGGAGCTGACTCGTTATGCGGTGTAACGAAAGAAATATTTTACCAAGAGATACGTACTTATGTCACCTCGGACTGGTAGGACTGCCGGTTTGGACGCGCAACGACTATTATCCTGACACGGACAGATATCCCGGGTCGCGGCCGCGCGGCGGGCGATTCCTTTCGTCACGAAACACTGTACATGCTGTCACACCATGGCGCGGCGCGCGCTCATCGCGTTTCGTCGTCAAGACTCGTCCCCCGTCCCCGGTGCTTCTATCGAGCGGCTCGTGCGCGCCCCACGGCACGTACGTACGCAGCGTGTCCACGCAACGGGAGGGAAACGTGCGTTCACGCGACTCCAACCTCGCGCTCGTCGCAGTGGCGGCGCAGTGCCGCCATGTTTTCTGTTGCCGCCGACGTTTATGCCAGCCCGGCCGCTCGGTCGCGTTCGGCCGCGCTCGGCGCCTCCTGGGCGACCCCGCGGCCCCCCTCCACCCCTCGCCCCCCCCCCTTCGTTATACACGCTACGTACGGCGTACACGGGGAACAAACACACTTCGTACCTGCGCTCAACCTGTGTACGTCAATCGCAAAACGCGGAGCGCCGTTCACGCGCGACGATACGTGAAATTTTACGACGCGCCGATCGCTCGGGACTCCCTCATTGGAATCGCGACATCGGTGTGCAACAATGACATTTTACGCGTCAATCGCGCGACTCTTTGCAATGATCTTACGCGAAGATTCAAGATTTCGGACAATCGCGAGAACAATCGCGAGAAATGCGGAACGACACGAATGCTATACTCTTATGACCCGCCGCAGCACGCTCCACGTCTAACTTTACGATTCGAAATCTGCATCGACGAATGACGTTGCGATTCTCGAGATATCGAAATAGCGATATTCTGACTGGCGGCAATTATTCAAAGTAAGAATAATATAGGAGAAATAATAAATATTAAAAATGATGGGAACAATGTTAATTCTTTACCTTCTTCTCTCCCATAATAATTCGCTTTTTATAACATAATTTTCGATATTGAAAATCACATTATTATATATGTGTATATATATATATATATGTATATATATATATATATATATATATATATAATATATAAATGTTGAAAAAATAAAAATCGGAACATATTAATTGTAATGTTGAACAATATTTCAAACTTTTGAAATGTTTAAATCAATGATATAAAATAGAAGTGACATGTAAGAATAAATAATAAAAGATAAATGTGTAAAAAATCAATTCTTAATATGTTAACAACACATTTTGTTTCTGATTTTTATAATTATAGCGGCATTTATCGTCATAAATATTGATGAAACAGCTGCGACATAATATTCGTATATATTACATATGTATACGTTTCTTTTAAAAAAAAGCATTCTTTTCTTATGTGCAAGGATATTTCTTCTTTTTAATATAATTCTATTTCTCTCCATGTTACCGTCTATTTCGATTTATTTCTTCTCACTCTAGTTGCGATATTTGCTGAGAGGGCGGTAATGCATAGAAAATTTTTAAAATTGCAGAAATTTTCGTAAGAGAGATAAAAGTCTTTATGTTGGCAACTATGACGGTCTTCACGAATCTTTCAATTTTTATTACATTATTATCTAAACATTATCTAAACTTTTTTTTTATTTTCTCGAATCTAGAAATAATAATATATTTTTGGAATACTTTTTACATTGTCTTTAGTGATCAATATCTCATAATTATATTATCTACTAACTAGATACAGTAGACATAATTTAAGTATTGTTAAATTGAAATTAATTCAACTTTATGATATTGCATAAATGTCACATAATAATCAACAATCGATCACACTCAATTCAATATTCTTCATTTACTTATCTGACAGATAAAAGTTTATTTTGCGGAATAATTTTTCACATGAAAGAAATGTAAAAACTCGAATTCTTTTGAATGTTATTTAATTAATAATTACTTCTAACTAAAACATTATTCTTTCAATTACACGATTGTCACAACGCAATCATTAGAACGAATATTACTTTATCTTATGTGTTACAGAAATAAATTTCATATAAATTATCTTTATTTAATCTATTATAAATTTATTCTAAATGTAAATATCAATTCATGCATATTATTTATTGGATTATAATATGTATAATGAAATATTGTATAAATATTATTAACAAATAACATATTAAGAAAAGCTTTAATTTTGTTTCATTTCGTGAAAGAAGTTTATATATATATTTTTTCTGTATAAAGAAATTATTATACTACATTATTATTAAAATTCTTATATTTGTATATTTCCAATTTTTGTGTGATAAGCTTTCATTATTTCCTACATGTTCGATTGCTGACATTACAATCTCCTCATGAACATATTGCTGAAGATAGATGGTAGATGACGCTACAAACATTTAAGTTTAAATACTGCTGCACTTGAATCATCTGGAAGATAGAAACTCCGTTGGTATATATAATTCATTGTAGTGCATACATATATTATAAACATATTTTTAATTTATTTTTACATCTTTAATTCTTCCTTTTTATATATTTTAAAGAATAGATAAAATATGTATAAAAATTTAGAAAGAAATTAAAAAATATATAAATAATCACAATACTCAGTTTATTCGTGTTTAGGAAATTATATAATTTTAAATAAAATATTAAAAAAAATAGTATTATTTAATTTTGATAAGAAATTTTTGTGTTTGAAAAACGTTCATAAATTGATTTAAATATTTACTTTTATATTTCTTTGCTTACTAAAACTTTGTTGGAAAACGAATTATATTTAATAACACATATAGTATATACATACACTTAACAATAACAGTAATTAATATTGTAAAAATATTATATTAATATTTTTCAAATTACGATGCAGAAATATAAAACTGTAAAATAACCGATAATAAGCAAGTCGGTACAAATACAAAATTAAAAAAAAATTCTATACAAAGGCGAAGGCATGCCTTCATTTAGGGGTGCGCCCCTAAATTTTTTATAATAAATTTTTTTGTACAGATAAAGAATATCTTCAGCATTTCAGAGAATACATATTGAAAATAATACTAACGAGATACTATTAAAAACCATTAAGCTAGGGCAAATTTTCATCAAAGAGACTCGAGAAATCTGGAGCTAATTAAAGAGTATTGATATTATCGATTATTAATACAAATTTGTGATTGTCAATATAAATATTTAAATAATGCATTTTTAAAATCATTATTTCTTATTATACAAATATTTTATAAATAAGTAAGCATATTTATAATGTTATAATAGCAATGCATATACATTACCACAAAATTACAATTATTTCTTTTATTATTACTATCTTTATGCATAATCTTAAACACAGATAGCAACTATAAAAATGTAGTTTTAAATAAAATTAAATATTAGCAAATTGTAAATAAATATATTTAGTAAATTAAAATGTTAATATTATATTATAGGTTAATTGTTTAACAGCCACGCTAATTTTTATAAGATTTGTTGATCTTTAATAGTATTTTCGTTAGTGAAAATAATAAGATGCATAAATGTTTTATTTCGCAAAGTAAAATGTTAATATTTATATAAAATGATATCGATTATTTGAAAAATGTCTGTTTTCAAAATTCAAATCTACTGTAAAGGCTAACAAGTCTAACACGTGATACAAATAACGATATAATGATAATTATTTTTTCTTTTGTTGCCATCGTGATCATCACGTTACATCCACGTGTAACAGAGGAGAGAGAGAGAGAGAGAGAGAGAGACGGGGAGATGCTTAATTACATAGGAATGCGAATGGAACGAATCCATAAGAAAATCCGCTTAGGTACTTCCATTCCTTCTTCGCGGAATCCTATCGCGAGTTCTTCGTTCGCGACATTCCCGAGGGAGATGAATGCAGAAAGAGACGGCGGATTACCTCGTTCCTTAAGGATCACGTAATTTTGCGACCACAGTAATATCGACGACGTGAAGCCAGTCCAAAGCGATTATTTCTGCATTAATGTATATCGGTAAGTGTAATTTTTTTCAATGGATTCGTCGTGGAAAAAAATAATTCTTTTTTTTCCCCTTTCGTTCGATCGGTCGTCACGCCGATGATTTTCCTCCTACATGCTACTCAACCATTGGCCGCGGTCGCGGCAGGCCTCCGGCACGTGATATTGTGGCAATCTGATTAGAATTGTTAATGTTATTGCGATTGGAGACAAAAAAATGGTGCAACGGTAATGGGCTCGCGCGTGTGTATATACATACGCACGCGGTGCATTCGCTTGTACTTGCATTCGTCCATTTTCTACCTTCGCGTCTACCTCGCTGATCTATCGAGGATCACTCTAAATCTCGCTAAAAGCGCGCCAATAACACTCTTTTTCGTGGACCTGCATATTGTGTAACTTATTAACTAATATAGACTTAAATTGATTTGATCATTTCGTTTGCCTGACTTTATATTATTAAGATATTTCTATCTTTTTAGATACGAGTATTATTACTAAATCACAAACTTGCGCGGTTATTTAAAGAGCGCTTCCTTTAATTCTTACATTTTAAAATATGGTTGACGCCAAAATATAGTAGCAATAATTTTTTGTGTTATATATTATATGTTTTATATTTCATAAAATAATTGTATCTCTAATTTTTTTATATAATCTCATATCACTGGTGAAAGACCTTTCCCTTTTTTCTTTAGTTTTTAAAATTTTATTTGTCCCACAACAATCGCGACAGAGATTATCTCTTTGCACAACCGAAGACGCAATAAGAATGCGTCACAGTCTTTAAATAACCAGGTCGCGGCTGTAAAAGCTCGGGAAATGGGTTACCGGCGTGACCAGAAAGCTCACCGGCTTTTGTGAAAAGGGGTTGGGAGAAATGGACGAAATATGACATAAGCGGCCAAAGAGAGATGTTAAGTCTTCATAAAAACTACCCTTGCCGTCTGGATTAGTTGAATTAGGTTTTAGGATAAAGAATGTCAGCTCCCTTATGATGAAAGATAAAAAAATCATCATAGTGAGAGCAAGATTACTTACCCCTATTATTTTCATAATAAATAATTTATCTACTCAATAATTTTTGCAACTTGTGTTTGATCCCCGAAATTTGTTATAACGTTAATATTTTAAACGATATTAATTTGAGCTAAATCACGTAACTATGTGACATATATGTTAATATTTTAAATAAACAATTTATTACGTTTTATTTTTTTTCATGAAAGTTCATCGATCGTTTATGGACAAATTTTGTCCGATGATGGTAGTTTCCTATAGATTACTATACATTTCTGAATGGATTGTAATAAAAATTTCCTATCCTAACCAATTTATGTCAATTTAGAAGGACAACCTTGATTTCGATATATATATATATATATATATATACACATATATATGTGTACATTAATATTCGCATATGTAGATTTTATATTGCAGCCAATAGAAACAATCCATTTTTTTATAATCGTAAAATGTAGGCGTTAAACATATATATATGTATATATTGGAGATATAATTTTATTATGTTATATATATTGAAGTCTGTTAAAAGAAAAAATATGATCAAGCCTGTCGCAATAAATTACTGGCACGCGCACAACGGCAGAACGATGGCATTATGATGGATGTCGTTAAAACCATATCCTTGTTCTATGTATGATGTGCATAGAAGTTAGGAACTATATCTGACCTTTCTGCGGACATTCTCAACAATGTATAACTCTTACTCCGATTTTCTTTAACAACTATTAATATTAATATTTAGAATTGCTAATGATTAATATTTAGACATTGTTATCATAAGAAAAGCCTATCTAATTTTGTTCTATCATTTTCATTCTCGTTAATCTTCTATAACCTCTATATAATTATATATATTTATTTCTATCATTTTTGAGAAACATAGCATAAATTATAAGTTATAAGTTATATTTTTTTATTTCGCAATAAATTAAAAACATTAAAAAATTCAACTTCACATTTTATAGTTATTTTTTTATGATTTTATAGAGAAAGAAATGTAGAATTTCATATAATGTTAAAATAAATACTGAAATTGATACGTATGTAACAAGTTTTTTGTTTTTTAATCGATATATATCTCGCTATTCCATTCAACAGCTTGTATGTAGCTTCAATTGATAGTAAATGTCGATACGTTTTAAAACTATTTATACGTTTCATCCGTGACAGCTGATACAGCAGTTTGACATCTGGAACGTATATTTGTGATAACATATGATTTCGGAAAATCGCAACGTGCATGGAAAACGCATAATCGCGTAGGAGTGGCGAAATAAATCCCACGAGCTGACATACTAACAGCCAGATAAAAATCTAGCCTTGCATCGCAGGTGTGGTCTGCAGAATAATTTTTATAGCTTAACGTCGCGTTGCGATACGACTAATGACGACTTATCGGCCAGTTCTCGTTCATTATGGAAAATCGAGTCTGAAATTGCATACCGCGAATTAATGGGCTCGAAGATACATTATCTCTTAGCACGATGTTTTATACATCTCGCGAGAAACTAGTGGACAACAAGTAATTGACAAGCGGAAAAGCGCGGCGAAGTGTATAATACATACTGATTTCAATATTATAAATCTATCAATAAAAATTGTTCTTAATCACTTGAAAATTTTGCTCAGTTTACATTATTTTCATAACTTAATCCGTAAAAGAAAAAAGAATCCTTTTATAGCGGTAATTAACGACGCTAATTGACTATACGAACAGCATAGCTTTGCTGTAAAGTTTAAGGAAGGGAAATTTTCTGGGTCGATAGACTTCTACTTTGCCGTTATGAGTCAGATAAATGCAGGCGTATGGCGAAGTAATCGACCTTAGATTAGCCTCGTCGGGAGGCTGTTACTTTTCCGCTATACGCGAGATTATTCAATTCTGCTTTTACGGTGTTTCAGAAGTAGGAAGTGTAGTGACGCAATGTTACCCGCCCTTGTTCTACATTGTCTTTATGTCACCGGTGGCTGTTCGCCTCGCAAAAACAATGCCCGAGATATTCGGTACAGAGAATGATTTCATTTTTCAGCGTTGTTCTCGCATGCTCTCGTTCTTTAACTATCATGCAATGACATGAACGAATATCACCGGTGATTATCAAGCGACACGGAAAACAGGTTCAGCACACAGAGCGATTTACAACAAAACCAATCTAATTAATATAATGCTATCAATAAAATATTTATCGCGCGAAGATAATATAGACATTTTAAATATTTAACACACTATTGTCATTATAACATATTTGTTAATTAGAGATACGAAGCGGATTGTCAATCGGAAAATAAATGGTTTTTAATGAAAATTCGATTGAGACCTGCTTTAATAGATCGTACAATACAGATATTCCAAAAAAGAAATTTTATTGAATAATTTTATGAATAAGAGTTTATTATAAAATACAAACTAAATTAGCCTCTCTGCTTTACATAGTTCAATTATTTAAAAAAACAATGAATTTGAATACAATTACATCTTTTTCTAGATCTGATTCATGCGATCTGGCCATTGACATCAATTCTCTATTAATAGATGATAGTAGTTTAAGATACACGTGCATCAAAGTGTAAAGGTGACGATTTAGATCACGCGGAGAATTCTAAACGCCCACACTCGCGATCCGTGCAGGCGATCCTTGATTCTTCAATTAATAATTAATCAAGCTACCGGTTAATCATAAACATTTAGATATATAGATTTCTTCCTACGCATGTGAGAGTGTACGAGACTAATAATGGTGTACGTTATAGAGACCAAGGCCTTTGTACGGCGCGTGCATAATTTTTTAACGCACGTAAGCACGACCATTTAACACGCTCGTATAACGAATAGACCAGAGACAGTACATGGTCAATTACATTACCCTGTTACTGAACGGACGGCTCACTCGATATTTTGGTTAAATCGGGCACCGGCAGACGGCCCAAATCTTAAATCTTAATTGTTACAATTTTATACAATTTCGAAAGTACACTCGCCTTGAATATACGTTGTACGTTTCAGAGAATTTCATGATTCGATGATTCACACATTGTCCTTAAAGTCGTACCACGATTACCGAAACTGAATATCTCGCGGCGTGGCTTCTGCATTTTTGTAAAAAATGAATTTTTCAGTATATTTCTATATTTTAAGAAAATATGAATTGTATGTTTAAAAAATATTTGATTTGCGAAGCGCCCTACTGACATGACACTGATTTACTGTGTAATTCCTTAATTATCCTGTTACTTTTGATAGACCGCGTCTCTCTAAATATGCGATGAAAGGCATGTAAATTAATAGAGCGACAAAATCGCGCAGACAACGTGCATATCCAGCACTTCGGAATGCTTGATTAAATATCTCGCTGCAATTAACATATTTAATTATGCGCGCTATCCTGTGTCCATTTTCGATAGTATAATCTTTACATTCCATGAATAATGTTCTTGTGCAAATGTAATCAATTTGATGAAATTTATCACAATTATGAAGTCAATATATAAATAATATACAAAATATTCTAGACCATTTTTCTCTACAAATTCTTTGAACAGTGTACAGTAAATGTTTCCTTAAAAAATCGAGGTGTTTATATAAAAAAAACAACAGACCAATAGTTTTTTAATTATAATAAATTAAGAATAAAAAGTTTTTGGGGGAAATAAGTTTCAAAAATACAAATAAATATTAAAAATCTTATTCTTTACTGAATTTCAGTATTTTCAGTCATTGTACGAATAGTATTTAATATTAAACAATATTTAAGAATGAATTAAAATTAAAAAATAAAAATTACGTGTCAATAATGATCTTGCTAGAGAAAATTTCAAATTTCAAATTATTCAAAGAATTTATAGTTATAGTATATTAAGTATAAGTAATTTATCAAAATGATAATACTTTTTTATGATGGCTGTGTGTCAATTAATATTGTGCAAAGATCTGCATCATAAAGTGATATAAGTATTATGTCTGCTTGCCCTTCATAACCATAAGTTTTGAGCTGATTAGGATATCATTTGATCGTAATGATTACCTAAGTAATAGCTAGCGTGCAGTAACTGTCTGACTAACAGATCTAACCGTGAGTGATTTCGTTATACGAGTGCATAATATAATACAGACAGTTATTAGCTTACAATTACCTGCATATCGATAGATACACAACACGTGGCGGCAATTTTTGTAAATTATAATTCTTTTATTTTGTGACTGGATATTTTTCACGTGGTATGTGATTTTGCCATTCAACTTATTTACGTGGTATTTCAATATTGCATTATATTACAACAACCACAGATTTCTGTATAGCATAGATCGCTAGCTCTGAGAAATAAAGTGAAGCCAAATAACTCAGGAGAGGGGGTAGTAGTCATCTTTACCCAGTAGCCAATAGGTTACATTCCAAAACGTCCAAATTTTAACCAATATTATTAAATGTACACTAACACTACTTCATAAAGCACTGTATGTGATTATCGGATAAATATGGCGTCTGGCTTCAACACAACTGGTAACAAACGGTAGCATGTTAGCGATCTATTCTATAGAAATCTGTGATTACAACTTCTATGTCATTACGATAGAAAACGAAGAATGTTGTGCGAATAAAACTGCGAGTAATCTAAGAAGGTACATTTATAAGTAAGTTATAAACGTATTGTTATTATAATATAATAATTTCTTATTCACACACACAGAAAATGCTTAACTTGTAATATCTTTTAATGGCTTTCGTTAGTCTCCTTCATAGTATTGCTAAATATATATTGTATAAGCAAATAGATAAACGTTCAGGATATGCATTCTCTTCAGGTGTTCTAGCACGGATGTAGATATGGAAAGTGCGAGTCAAGGACGTAATTCATTTAGAAAAGATTGCATCTTTTCTCTATTTTGTGGCAATTATTTCATGGTAAATCGTCACCATATTTTTGGCAGCTCACACAATAATAGATATTTATATTTAATTAATGATTCGTATCATTTATGTATTATTCAATAATACAACAATGAAATATATACATAAATAATAATAACTTATTCGAAATTGCAAAATATTTTTTTTACATTTATAAGTAGATGCAAAGAATGTAACATAAAATTCTGTGTATGATTAACTATAATATATGATTATATAATAATTAATAAAATATGATAGAAATATAGAAATGTTAACAAAACTGCACAAAAAACAATTAAGCAAATTGAATTAAATGCTCATTATTAACTAGACATACATTAAGCCTTGGTATTTTTTAGGCTATTTAAATCATTGAATCTAAATTAGACAAAGCAAATAAAATCGCGGGAATGTAATATTCATGGTATAACCAAGTATAACATTATACTAATTCCAATGTTCATGCGTCGCTAAACGAAAAGTACGTTTAATCCTTTTTTAAAATAGCGGACCCGTCAGACCGGTACAATGATAAATGGATAATTTCAAGCATGTTCTTTTGATTAAATAACGGATTGCTTTAATTATTTTGTGAACAAACTTCACATTCAATCAACATTTTTGTATATAACTATAATAGTTACATGTAAAAAATACGTTATTTTATTTATAAGTTAACATTTACAAGCTAACGCACTAGAAACGTAATTTGTCAGTAGCGATTAAAGAATCATTAATCTTTTTAAAGTAACGCCAAGGTTCTCCACGGTAAGCATAAAAAAATAATTGCAACTCCACGCAATAATTAATTCCTACAGTAATTTGATAGGCGTGTTCTCAAACGCTGATATAACGATTCTGCAGGCGATAACGATCCTGCTCGATTGACAAGTCTGATAAGTCTTCATATATATGTTATATTACCTCGCAAAAATCTTATATTGTTGCGCATATGTTACATTCTAACGGAATCTTGTCAATACGTCGTCTTGTCTGTGTTATGTATGTTACGTATCAACTTTTTTCAAGTTTTAAAGTTAAGTTACTAAAAATACTGAATAAAATGTATAAGTTAATTTAAATTTTATTAGGAACTACCTATTTTATTTGGATTTGTCAACAATACCGAAATATATTACAGAAATAGATCTCATGTGTCCTTCGGACGTTGCGCAATTGCACTTTTTGTTGCAGGTTTTGCAGAAAAAATGTACGATATGGTTGAATGATTATCGATTGCTTGTTATGTACAACTGTAAATTGGACGTTTCTTATTTTTACACAAGAAATATTTTCCTGATATGGACTTTAATAAGAAAATCGAAATGTATAAATTTATTTTTGGTATTTTGTATCCGAAAGCTCAACAGAAAGCATCTTTTTTTTCTCTCTAAACGCACTGTTAATTTTTTACGCTGCAGTCTGTACATTGTAACGTGATTGCGTAACTACGCTTTTTGCATGACTTGTTTTCTGCTCTAATATAGTCGCTATTATACATCATCAAACATTCATTTATGTACGTTCTATCTTTTTTCCCACGCTGACTAGAATAAAGATATGTCTAATGGAATATATTGATGCTGACTTAATGCATATCAATACCACCTTCGGCAATTTCCGCAGTCTCGACAGTTTGCATTTTGCTCTTGGTAAAAAGCAAGAAACAGAAGCGCCTCTTATATTCATAAAATGTGTGGGCGTGATATTATTATGTGTATCAATATAGCGCTTCTATTGATATAGTCAAAATGCAGGCTGTATTTTTCCTCTTTCTCTTCCAAATATGTGTTTCTACTATTGTCGATAAAGCAGTATTTTTATTATTGTATAAAAAGTAAGAACTAAAAAATTGTGTTGACATACATCAGTGCACAAATATTAGCTAAGAAATAGAAAAATATGATATAAAAATATGTAGTTCTTATTCTATTTTTGTAAGCATACAAAAATTGTTTACATTCCGTAATTAGTTTAAAACAGTTTTGTTTTAATTTCTCGAGAATTCATATTTACAAACAATTCTGTTGGGCTTAAATCTATTTAAATCTGCTTCATTTTTGTAGTCGACACTAACCGATTGAGTGTTGTAGATTACTGTTACTGTGTGACAAGTGTGATACAATTTATTTAAATTCGTATTATCTATTTAAGTTCTTACTAAGTTTAAATCTACTTATTATTATATATTTATTAAATTAATAAATATATTAATTAAAAGATGAAGATTTTAGAAACGGTATGTGGTGTACTAAATATAATAGGTAATATGATATGCTATACGTTGTTGAAAGATTACAAGACTGAAGACAATGAGCGTATACAAAGTATAGCAAGTATATATGAAGCAATTAATAATGATATGACAGAAGGTACTACATAATTATTTTATATTTTGCAATTTTTATTGCTTTTTTAACATAATTTGTCGTAAGCAATTTTTACTGCGGATAATTGGTTGATAGTGTTTTATATAATTGTATAATTTATATTTCATCACGAGGCAAAAATAATTACATATAAATTGTTCTTTTTATTTATATTTAGATAAAATTTTTAACGACCAGATTGATATTTTAAAGTGATATTTTAAAAATTACAGTTAAACCATTAGAAGAAAATATAAATGCTATAATCGAACGTGATTGTCATGATGACAATCAAGATTGTTCTTATATTATAATAAAAGTTGAACCAAAAGAAGCCAAAAATATAAATGCTATAATCAAAAGTGACCATCATGCCCCCCATATATTCACCCACATATGTTCTGAAAGTGATATTCAGCTAACAAAAGGAACATTAAAGGTTAGGAACATTGCAGAATCGACAAGATTGTCACAGCTACCTGCGAGTCTTGCGACCAATTCTATTGGAAATTATAATTGCAGGTTAGATTATAGTTCAATTTTATTAATTTTTTCATAACTAAATAAAGAGTGGAGCATTCGAAACATCTCAGTACTTCAAACTTGGGAAAATAATGTTCATTTTTCAGTATATATTTTTAAGAATACTGCAATCTTATTATTTAATTGTATAATTGTTTGTAATATTCGATATTTTTGTTACTAGCGCTATTGATGATAATTTGACGACATCCACATTATATGTACCAATTGCTAAAAAAATACGGGGCAAAATAAATAAAAATAAAACTTGCCCGTCAACATCCACTGCAGATTCAAAATATATATTAAAACGATTTTCATTTGCACAATTGCGCAAACATACTGCAGCAGTATTCCGTCGTTGTTTTCATAAATTTAAATAATGTTTGTAAGATTACTTTAATGTTTTTAATTATAATTATGTTTTTAAGATTATTTAAATGAATGACTTACTTAAACGAACGATTTAAGCAGCGTTTCTTTAAGTGAAAAAAATCAATAAAAACAATTTTAAAATGTTAAAATCTTAACAAATATAATTATAATTAATATTCTAGAGACAGTAATTTACATGTAAAATTTATTATAATAAGTAAAAAATAATTTAACATAACAGATCAATAGGAGTCTGATGTCGTAATCATGACTCTGTAATTTGTACGATTTTATATATTTATTTTTGAAATCCTTCTTATATTCAATGTAGGTATTTAAATTTTGTATGTTGCTATTTGTTTCCATAACTGCAATATAGATGTATTATGCATTTCTCTCATATTTTGAGAATAAATACTCTCAAAAATAAATATATTGTAGCTCTCGTATATTTTCGATAAATTAATATTTATATTTTTAAAAACTTTATTGTGTGTTGCAATTTCTTGAGCTCTAAGAGTTTCTTTATGATAATAATCATGCTAATAATATATACATAAAATTATGACTTATTTTTGTAAAATGTTAAAGTTTGTAATTCTTAATATTTATAGTAAAATGTTAAAATGTCTCCTGGAAAGTATTTAAACATTACTTATCTCATTTATCGGCATAAAACAATTTTCTTAGATTAAATGTTAATTCTTGCAAGTGTCTGTATTTTTACACAAAATGTGCTTCAAACCTTCTGTTCTATTAGTATATTCAATATAATAATGTCAAAAAATTTGAAAAGACTGAGACTAATCAAAAGATCCGACAAAAAACATTATATAATGTATAAATTGTTTCGTTTATTTTATGTTTTACGCAATTTCTGTATCGAATAGTTCTTGCATCACATATGCGAGTGCAAAATGATTTCATAATAATTCTTTGCACTTTTTTATACGATTTGTTACTCGATTTAATGATTAGCTATTCTACGATATTAAATATTCATGTTTCGTTTTTATTCTGCACTTTTTTTCGATAGAACGTTTGTCTAAATCTATAACAGAACATTACGCTTTTATACACCTCAATTTGGTATGTTAATAAAAACAATAAAATATAATTTGTATTACATGAATTATAATCCCAAGTTACACGATAGTATACAATTATTATTTATAAAATTATAATTTATTGCATTGCATTTATAATAATATGTTAAAATTAAGAATCTAGTATTTTGTGTGCAAATCATATTAGGTAGGTACCAAAATCATTCTATTTTCCAGCTATAATGTTTGATCGATTGATGTCGAATCGACGTCGATCAATATTGATTCCACGTCGATCAACCAACCATTTCTGGCTGGATTTCAAATATTTGGCTGGGCTCGCTTAGTGCTTGCTTAGAAGCATAGTTTATTATTGTCACTCGTTTCCTTCAAGCAGTGCGTATTCGTGCGATCACGTTACACTAAAGTGAAATTTATTTACGGATAGTGAAATGGCGATTTGGTGTAAAGCAATAACTTGCGGTACAATAGCATCTGCAGCTATCGTTTATTATATTATTAAATTGCATCGCAGGGGAAAAAAGGAAATGGACGGTAGGTTAAAATATGTTATCTAATTGAAACCTGCTTGTGGTGATTCGCCGTTTATTGATTTGAAATATTCACTGTGCAATAATAGAACATACATGAGAAAACCAATTGTAAATATATGAATAAGTTGCTAATTATAATGTTTTTTATTTAGTTAACAATCATGCTTTCGAAGTTGAAGTAATTAATACATCTTTATCTGATACACGTGCTAAAAGACAAATTTTTGCTAAGAATTCAACTAATCCAAATAATATGCCACTGATATCGAAAATCAGACAAGTTGTTTCCCCGCTTTCAAACAAAAGCACATCTAATAATCCAGTAAAATCGTCACGCAATAAAAGATTATACCAGATGCAATCAAAAGCTGTAGAAGATTGTAATTCAATTATGCAAAATAGTGTCAGGTAAGATATCTTAATTATCAATTTCAATTCCTAATTATTATTTTTAATTTGTTCATTTTTAATTAATTTATTAGTTCATTTGTTCATTTTTAATTGAGTCCTAGTTAATTATTTTTAGTAATTATTTCTTTCAAAAACCGTAAAAATTATCTATCTGGTAACTCATTAAGTAATTACAGTGAGAAATGATTTAACAATAATGAACTGATAAAATTGAGTGTAAAAAAACATTTATTTTACATATTGCTCTTACTCGAATCTTTAAACAGACAATAACAATACAGTAAATTACAGATCCTTTACACACAGTGAGACAAGTGAGTCCGTTGTCCTAAATAATTCTGCTTCATCTTTCGAACATGGACTTGGAAATGCACAAGATAACTTCAATCATTCTGTAGTTATTCATATTAATAATTCAATAGACTCGACAACTAATAAGATTCAGATAAAAGCCTTCAACAGATCGATAAAACTATCGACATTAAATATAAAGACATTACACATTTCTGATGATTTTTCTGCAAAGAACAGGTAGGATTCGTTTTTTAATTAAAGTAATTTAAAATTATACGGTAAATTATATGGTAAAGAGAATAAATCGATCCATTCACAATCTATTAAAATTTAATCTCTAAACTTCGTTTAATTTTGTCTTTTTTACGTAAATAATTATATTTAAATCATTTTTATTTTGCAAATTTTGCATTTTTATTAATTCTTGAAATTTCATTGAAAAGACTAATTTAAAAAACAAATAAATTTATTTAATATTAAATATCAAATGTATGTATTAAATAGCAAATATTGAATATTAATATTTAATATTTAATGTATGAACTAAAACATGTCGTTTTTAGATATTTTAAAAAAACAAATAACAAAATTTTTATTGCATAAGCTACAGTGAATTGAATTACTGTTTCCAATTCAATCTTTTCAGTTTTTTGTTTTATTATAAGAAATATACATTTATTATTATGATTAGGTCTGCCGATTCAATTATGATTAGCCAGAAAGATGAGCCTAAGGAAACCAACATTATGATTCCATCATTAAATCGACGACGATTTGTGGAGCGTTTTATGACGTTTCGTGGAAATCGATTAACAAATGTACGTAATAATAAGTGTACAAAAGAAATGGAAAGACATAATATAACTATTATAATTAATTAATACTTCTATATAAAGATAAAAATAGAGAAGTATTACACAATATTATTTTTTTAATATTTTGTACAAATTTTGTACATTTTGTGTTTTGTACGTTTGAGAGATGCGGATACATCTCTTTCATTTAAAAAGAAATTAGAATTGTTAAATAATTTAATTATTCTATACAATTTATTTTTATACAAATTAGTAAAAAATTTCTATTTTTCACATAAAGACAGAGAGAAAGAGAGAGAGAGAAAAGAAAGAAACGTACAATAATCGTAAATATATTTCAATTTTTAATATGTAGTAGTGTTGAATATTTAAAATTCATATTTGTAATGTTATTTATTGTAAAAGCACTAATTTACGGAATTTTTTTATTTCAAAATGTTATTTGTTATATTCATTATTTGTATCCAGATATATATTTTAATTTGTTTCTTTGTAAAATGGAAATTTCATAAGTATTTTGCAATATAATGTGCCCATTGTCGTTGAGAAATGATGTTTTCATAGTTTCATATTTATATTGTTTGTACATTTTTGGTTAATATGTTGTATTTTTACTTTATATTAACTTTCGTTATGTATTTAAATTTCACTAATTTCATTATATATATTCGAACTTTTTATTCATTCTTATTACACGTGTTGCACAGAATATATATATATTTATAATTTATTTATACTTACGAAAAAATTCTAGTCGTATGTTGTAATAACTCGCAAAATCCTAAATAAATTAATTAAAATAAATATATATTCAGAGGCAAAAGAGCAGATAATATTTTACAAAATAATAGTATTTTCTGGATATACATACGTCATCTTCATATATAAATAATTATAAATATTTTTTTGTTATGCAAATGGTCTATGTTCAAAAATCTTAAAATATAAAGGTTCATTTTACGTATAAAAATTTTCTCTCTTCCTCTCTGTCAATTGTGCAAAAAAATATAATTCTTTTCACATATTCTTATATGCTATCGCGTTATTCTTTGAAGCATTATATGTATTATATTATTATTACACGAAAATTATACATATAAATATAAGTCGATGACATAATATATATTTTGGATAATTTTTTATTATATATTTTAATGGCAATTATTATATTATTAATTTTTTCATAGCATTACATTCTATTAAAATAATTTCAATGTAATTATTTTCAAAGAATGGCTTTAGAGATTTATAGGATTTTATCACATTTATTTGGAAACATAGTATGTGCAGAGATTAATTTTAATAATAGTATAAATTGCGAATGTATGTATGTGCAAAACACCTAAATTTATCATCCAAAATATATAATTAGTGTGCTAATATAATATTTAACAAAATCGATTTTTTATCTTTGTCGACTTCCTTATGGAATAAAATTATTGCTATTTTACAGACAATAAAGATTAAAATTTTGATTTTACGATAATATGTATATTTTCAATATAAATTGCAGTAAGTTTAAAAAAGAGAAGTCGGCAATTGTAGACGAGATTTGTGATATAATTTCTATTCGTATATTCTATATTAATATTATACTGATCGACATTGATGAACCATCTAATTACCGAGTTTATTCATGAGACTCGTTAAATGCGACACGACGTGGAGAGCATTAAATAGCTGAAATGTATAGCAAATATCTGCTAAATTACACATTATTATCTAACTAATAAAATTATACAAAAATAAAGCGTGTATTTTTTATCTAGATATTTTGGAATGTGTATTTTGAGATAAACTTATAGTAAATATTTGCATCGTTTCATGCAGAACGTTTGTCGCATATATAATAAAATTGCGGCAATAATAAAATAATTGTTGTTACCCCATCATTTGAATTGTGTAAAAAATAGAACGTGGAAAGTATTAATAATTTATTTATCTTATTTAATATTGCACGTAAGAAAATTATACGACAAATGTACTTTTAACTGAGTACCTGCAACAATCATATACATAAGTCAAAAAGACTAAAATTATGAAATGCACTACAAAATTATGCGACTTCCATACAAACAAAAGATATAAATAATTTTTTAGCATAAGGTATACATAAAGCAGGCTACTGAAAAATCAAGTGTGATAAATATACACTTTTTAAATATTCTTATACTAAATTTTTTTATGCTTTATATAATCAATAACGCTTAATCTCATTGTAATTATTAAGCGTTATTGCAGTGAAGAATTATAATTTGTATTATTGCTGCAATCATTGTTTTTTATATTCTCTTAATTAATTTGCGCGTAAACTATATATTTTGAAGTAGTATTGTATTTTATCGTCAGTTATAATTATCAACTTATATAATTATATTTATGTATAAAAAAAATGTATGTTTGTGTATGGGAAAATAAGAGATTAAAGATAAATTTAAAAAAATTGACTTTTTTTATGGCTGGAATTTCCGAGGATAATTATTAAGGAATCGCCCGAATTTTTTCCATACAATTGCGGTCTGTTTCGCGCAGCTTCCTGTTCTGATTCACAGGCGATCGCGAATTCGTTGAAATGGCGAAACTTAACGTGAAGGAATTATTTCTCGGCGACTCGAGGACGTTAAAGAAAAAAATCTCATTCTTTTCGCGGTAATGCTCGTCAGTTTTCCTTTTGCGCTAACGCGTGCCTAATAGGTGTTACGCTGCTTCCCTTATAGGAAATTGCCAACATATGACGCTGGTTATGTTTATCGAGTATTTCTCACTGTCTCGAAGTGCTGAGAACATGATTTAATACGCGATTAATCTATAAAATCTATCAAATGCGAAAATCGTCAAAATGTACAGATCGAACATAGCCATTAATCGACAATAAGTAAAGATATTTGTCGTATGAGAACAGTTAACATATAACAGTTAACACGACTGAAAAATCGCAATTCAGTGAAATCCATTATGACATTGTACGACGTAACGCGAATGTAGGTCTGGGTTGACTACAATGAGCAAATTCGCATTAATATAGCAATCATTATGACATGATACATATTTTCTGATCAAGTACTTAAATCGCGAAGATCGTCGAAACAACTTTTAAAATTAGAAGATTAAAAATAGCAATAATAATATTCAAGGTATAGAAGATACATAGAATTCAAGATATAGATTATAATTCGAAAATTCACTTATTGTTAGCATTCGATTATATCTTGCATGCGATAATGGATTAAGGAAGTGAGCAGTAAAAAATAATAAATAAAATCCTTTTTGTTCGCTGTAATAATTTTTTGATCTCTTTCCCTTCTATGATCTTGTCGTCACATTTTCATGCGTACATATGTCCAAAAACAAAATAACATCTGACAGACTTGCGAATTAGAAATGATCTATCGACCGATTTGAAGTGATCGTGATAGACTGTTTGCAATATCGAACGCTTCGGTTAATGTATTATGTATGCGCTGGCTTGTACTTAAAGTGCGAATGCACAACGCGCGCGTCGTTACTGCGCGTGATTTGCATATTGCGGGTTCGCGAGTAATTAACGATCGGCGCGTTACATAATGAATCGATTCCCGGCGATAAGGATGTCTGTTCGTTAGTGTGTAGATTTATCACACACGTACGTATGTACCCCCGTTAGCCGACGCGCGCGGTATTTCCTTTTTCCTTCTCGGATGACGCACATGACGTCCACGTCCGTTGATCGTGGGTGTGAACCGGCGTGGCCTGCGGCGGGCCTCTCGTAGACCTTGAATTATCTCTTGTCTTGAACGAGCATTCGATCTATTGCTATAAATGTGATTCTTATGAATTATACGTCAAGGAAGCTAGAACAACTCGCTGTATAGACTCTTCGACGGTGTAAGCCGGTCAACTCGTGTCGCGAAGAATAAACAAACTTTTTGAAGGAAAACTGACGTCCCTTTAATTTTATTCTGGATTAATATATAGGTGGATCCCCTTAGATTTAAAGATTAAAACTTGATGACAAAGAAAAGAGTTCACGGAGACTTAAAGAGAAGCTGACAATAGATAATAAAAATAAATTCAAAGTTAATATAATTTTGTAATCATATAGATTTCACATTTCAACTATTGAAAATATATACTTATTTATAGTATTACAGACAAAAATATTTGTCAGCTACCTGTAGTTACGTTGACATAACAATAATTATGACTTGTTATTGCGATCGTGTTATATTTAGCCGGACAAGTAACGGATGGCAATCTATCCTGTTACAATATTTATAGCTAATTAACTCCATTCGTAACTGCTTATAACTAGTCGTTATCTGTACATCATGTCTCTCCGCGCAAAATATGTACGTGTCAATTTTATCTGTAAATCTTGCGAATTCCTTTGTATTTCGACTTCTGACATGCAAGAGATCTAGAGAGAGACATATTTGGATTCGTTATTACGTGTACAGTCATTAAGATTAAATTGAGAAGAGAATTCCGAAGATTTCGATTTTAGTTACGGCCTGACGACTTTCACTCATTAAAGGGAAATTCCGTTCCTTCTTTTCTTTCAAGTCGATAAATCGAGCGATCACCTCAGTGACGTAGCGCCGGACGAGATACCAATGATAATTGTACCGATATAATATCCGTATTTAGTACTTGCATGAAAGCTTCTCCACTCGGAGAAAAAAAACGAAAGCCTAACAACTGATACACGAAATTAACAATAAGTTTTAGTCTTATTAAATTAACTGACAGAGATGATAAAATAGAAATATTTCACATATATCATTCGATTTATATTATAATCAACCAATTCTTTACTGCTAGTTAAAGCCACATCGTTGCGTTAAAGGAATCTCTAATGTCGATCGATTCTGGACTTTCCCTCGACATAGCACCTTGAAACTTAGCACGTGGCACGTAAAGGAGAATCGAGTTGTCGATCAAAGATACGTTGTTGGTGATTTCTCCTGTGCGACCCCGTAACAATGTGCATCATCGATCATTGATGTTACAAGCGATACTTGTATACGATCCTAATAACAATGCAGTGTAATGTGCATTATCGATCGAAGGTTGCAAAGTAGTTGTGATCATTGAACAATCGCGAAGAAAAACATCGAGATAAATCCAGAAATAAATGCAGTTAATTCATTTCAAATAGTTGCAGATGATAAAAAAAAAATATATATATACCATAATATATATATTTTTGAATATAAAAAAGATTGAGTGTGCAGATTAAGATCTCTATTTAATTGATTGCA